CTAGTGTGCTATTTTCATTAAAAAACAATGGAAACCTAATTAGTTGCTTCATATAGAGTTAAGCTTCAAATGTAAATTGGACTTTCAGTTCTCTATACCATGAATAGTTTGTAATAAATAGATAAGACTTCAAAACCAATTGAATTTTAATCCTAATGATATATGCAGTTTTTCTCTTTAAAAAAAAAAAAACAGAACCTATTGAAATTAGTTACTTATCATATCAATTTATCATTTTTTTTAAATGAAGGAATAAGTTGTCATAGCAGAAACGTCTTAATTTCAATAATCGCACCATATTGCAAAGATTTAGAAGCCATAAGCATGATAAGGTTAAACTGTTTAAAACTAAAAAGAGTATTGAAATTTGATTAACATATATTCCTGTTAATAAATCTTTTCCGAAAATTCCATATATACTATCAGTAAACACAAACTTTAATTATTTTCTGATGAGACATTTTTTTATCAAATCAATCTAATTTTCCATCTTATGAATATAGTGCAATACAATCCCCTCTAAAACCTTTTTGATAGTATAAAATAATATTAATTAAGTAGTAATTAAAATTGAATTATTTTTGTAAAACATTTCTTATATACAGGGAGTTAGAATTCCAGTAAATTGAAATCATGCTATCATTTTTTTTTCTCACTACAGTTTATATTTTAGATACTTATTTATTTATGGGCATCCCTGATATATGAGTTCACTGATTACACATGTGGGACATACTAAAACATTGCCAATGATATTTTATAAATGATTTATTTTGATTCAGCTGATAATGGTATACTTTATTTCCCAATTTCAGATAAAATCTAATAATTTTAATGAATATTCCCTTGGTTTTTACTTGGACTTATGTTAGCATTTAGTAACGAAATTAAATATTTTTGTCAGAAATATCGTTGTGTTTAATTATCCTTATTATTGATATTTAACAAACATTCACATAAAAAAGCAAATGTTATGTCAAAAGATTGAAATATATTAATAATTTGTCTACTGCAATTTAGTTATATATTAACTTTCCGATCTACAAAAGAACTTTGATTGTTGAAATACGCAATGTCACGTGGAAGCCTGTCCACAGAGGGGCCGTTATAAAGACATAGATCACCACCTGTACAAATGATCGAACATTTTCGATACGTTCCGAAAACTTTGTTTCCTTAGATATCTGAATAGCCCATAGAAAGCCATCAAAAGTCACCAACATATAGGCCTTAACACCTCAGAGGGTTCACGCAAAAAAAAAAAAAAACTCATCATAGATATCTGAATTTCGAATATTTCATCCTTTTATTAATAGGGAATTAACAAGAAATTAACGATCGATGATATTTTATGTCAACACAAAAACACAAAATTGTTGACTCCTTGAGTGGGGATAAGACGAAAAAATAAGAGTTAACACGAAAATGTTTTTTTTTCTGTTCACTCCTTACAAGAGCAGATCGATTTGTTTCATTAAAAGGTGGGGTCAGATTTACTATCTCCCTACCAGAAGACCCTTTTTAAAAACAAACAAAAAAACAAAACAAATTTCGAGAAAAAACCAAATTTCGTCATAAAAGAGAAGCTTAAGGTGGTACCCAACACCTTGACTAATATTAATTTGGCTCGTTTAATTTTCATAAAATTTTGACAAAATGTTTACTTTGACCCTTTGACAAAAATATAAAAATTTCTAAAAATTTGAACCAACCACTTTATCAGAAAAATTTCATTGGTTATATAGCAGTTTGACAAACACCAATTTTGATCATTGAGAAGCTTAATATTTCCTTAACAATACAACGTAATTACAACGTTTAGCTGATTTTTACAGAGTTATCTCCCTGTAGTGTTAGGTACCACCTTAAAAAGAAAAATATAGAGCAAACGAATGCACTCGGTTTATTCTGTACTTATTGCAATGTCAAATAACATACATATATTAAGCTTTAACAAATAAAGATCTGGGAGATATTGTAAAGATGAGGTCTATAAATAACAATCGTCTCATTAAATATTAATATTGGTTTAAATCAATTTGTTATATATTCAAATATATGTATATATCACATATGTGTAACTCAGTTTCATATGTTTATACGGAATTGTACAACTGATGTCAGGAAACGCCTTTTTTGTTTACTCTCAGATTGCACTGACTTTTATATATTTATAAAAAAACAAATAATACATTTTAACAGCGCAATGAAACAATTGCAGTCAACAAAACACATCGCAGGGACCTCCATGGCCTGTTTTATGATGTCGCACGTCATCGTTAAATTATCTTCCGCCACTGTTAAATAACTGCACTATAAATGAAAGGTGTTTTCGTTTCGCTAGCCGTCGCCATTTATGTAAGCAATTATAATCAATTGCATGTAATTGCATAACCCTTATTGTATTATAATTCAAAGGGTCCTCTTGATTACTGTTTCAAAGCACTGAGGGATATCCAACTTACAATCGCTAATCATTTGAAGATAAGGTAGTTCGAGACTCCTGACAGGAGAGCACTTGATCAAGAGAGATGATTAGTTGCATTATCTCATTTATTTCTGCTAATGCTTATGAAAATTCTTTTAGGTGCTTTTACACCATACGATTTTCTATCCGATTTTCATCCGATTGTTTTTTATCTGTGATGTCGTTTCGACAAAAATCGAACAGTAAAATGGCATTTTCATTTGTTTAATCAAAATGTCGTTTCAAAATCGATTTGTACTCCATTTTCATCCAACAAATCGGTAGACGGAGAAACGACAATTCTGTGCGATTTTTTGTTTGCTGATACTTTAAAAGCTATATAAAAAACAAAGAAAAATACGTTATGAAAGGAAACATACATGTACAGAACATACCCCCTTTTTATCTTCTTAAGGTGTCATACCACCATTGATTTTTCCCTATTAGTCTTTGTTACAGTTGCACTTTTCAAAAAATTGTGCAGAATTTATCTTTGTTTCAAATAAAGAAATACTTGGTATGAGTAAAGTTTTATCCTGTCCAGTACTACAGACAAAATTTCACATAACATTTCATTGCATATAAGAAAATAACCATCACTAGAAGTTAACCAATCAAATTTTCATGTGTACAAGCTTTAGTAACCATGTAAGCTCAAGTTTCCAAGATATTCTATAGAAACACCAAATAAAAAAAAAAATGGTGCTTTGAAACACCCAAGATATATGTTTATGACTCAGAAATTTTTTACTGCAATGAAATGTAGGATTAATTTCCTACAACTGTCAAATTTAAGGGAATACTTTTTTTCGACCCTTTTTCGTATGCAATCGGATGTGACGTACTATGATTTGGTGGTATTACACCTTAACTAAAAAAAGTACCTTTCAGTATCACTATATTCTTTAAATGTTTGAATTTGTCGATAATCATTTGATATAGATCTATTCTTTTCATTTTTGTAAAGTCTTTTTTTAAGGCACTCGCTGCAATCAAACAGATAATAATTATTAAATTGCCCTTTTTTCTTACTTTTCATGTTTCTGTATGCGTCAGGCGGTGACCACTTTTGACGACATGGCGTCATTGCAGATAAAACGTTATGACGTCATGGCTAGTGCAAAGACAAATAATGCATTGACCATTTATTTTTTGCACATATGGGAAGGGAAGTACTGTACAAACATTTTTTTTCGACTTCAACTAAAAAAGATTTTTTTTTCGGAAAAACGCATTTACCAGGTCAGGAATATGACAGTTGTTTTTTCACTCGTTCTGTTGGTTGAAAATGTTTGATTTTGTCAGTTTTTATGGACTTTCACCTTTTTGAATTGACCGTGGAGTTCGGTATTTGTGTTATACTTTTTCAAATATTTTCAAATTTTATGTCTCCTTTTTGAACCAAAAATTTGGAGTCTAAATTTTTCTAGATAACTATATATATATATAGATATAAGAAAATATGGTATGAGTGCCAATGAGACAAGTCTCCATCCAAGTCACAATTTTTAAAAAGTAAACAATTATAGGTCAAAGTACAGCCTTCAACACGGAGCCTTGGCTCACACCGAACAGCAAGCTATAAAGGATCCCAAAAATGACTAGTGTAAAACAATTCAAAACCATATATGGCTATATATCAAACCGCAAAAAGCTGTACAATATTTACTGTATGTGATCTCTTGTTCGTTTTAAGTACAGTATCTGCTTCTTTTTTACTTTTGAAAAATAATCAATATTTTAATTGCTTTTATTAATTAATTGAGTTACATGAATTATTTATATTACGTCATTAGTTTAACTAGAAAGATCAGTTACAGATATTTTTCTAAAAATCAATATTGTTTATCAGCTTTCATGCGTAAGATGGAGTGAAATTACATTTCCATTTATGCCATTTTTTTTGGACATAAGTAAGGACTGCCCATAGTAGTCCGATGCCCGAAAGAGTCTTGTATTGTTCTTGAAAAAATGGTTACTTATCATATACCACCTCCATTCAATATTTGGTGTTGAAAATTGGAAATATACTTGATCATCACGGAAAGAGTTGGACCATTTTCAAATTTGCAAAACAGGAGAGATACAAATTATCTATAAGTTTTTCGTTTACTGTTTTAAATGTATCAGGCTTCTCGAGATAACTATGTCATGAAAATTAAATTGTCAATAGAGTTCTTGGATGTTTTGTTTTGTTGATTTACACGTTGGTAGCTTCCGTACAAGAGAGATCAATGAAAACCTAAATTTTAAAAGTATCAGTTTTCCCAGACCGTAAATTATAAAATTAGTTTTAATAAATAAATGTGCATCTTTAGATGCAGATTATATCGGGTTGTTATGTAAAAAAATTTTTCTGTAGGCGATGTGTCAACTATACAATTTTTACATCTTTTATTAATGCAATATATCACATGAGCAAAGTTTATCGAATCAAAAATGAAACGAAGTCAAAACTTTATATTCTCAATTTGGCTGTTGTTAAACGAACAGTTACAATCGGTAGCAGTATATTAGTGAAAACTATGTTTTATTTAAGGGCATCATCAGTTTGTATATTTTTCACACAATTTACTGCATGTTTCAGTTTAAAATCTCAGATGTTCAGTAAAGAAACGGAAACACGATTAATTGGGCCATCGATGGAGACAATAAAAGCCAGTTCCGGAAGCGAATGCGCCATGCTTTGCACAAATGACAACAACTGCTGCTCCAGTACTTATGACACAAACCTAGAACAATGCTCATTATTTCTTGCATGCTACCCTAACAAGGAATATTCAAAAGAATCACAAACAATAACGAAGGTTTCAGGTAGGGCTTGTATGTATTTAGATAATTAGAGGTTCAATTTAATCTTTTTCTTTTTTTTTCTTTTAGTCGTTTTTCTATTTTATAAATTCAATTTTCTTGTATTTGCAACATCAAATAATTTATAATAAAATTAGTATTTTAATCATGTTAATTATTCAAAATTTGATGTCATTCTACATTTTGTTCTAGTAAGGTTTTCTGCAGGAGTTAGATTTTTAAATAGAATTTATAAATTTTCAGATTAAAAGTTACTTGCAACTTTTCAAATAAAAACAACAAATATTTACCTATCAAGGCTGACAAAATTTATCGTGTGTGTCCTTATTGTCTGTATAGCAATACGCTGCCTCTATTTTCTGGAAGGCAATATGTTTGCACCTTTGTCCAATTGGCAATCTGCTTGTAACCTTGCCTGAGTGGCAATCTGCTTGCACCCCGTGTTGTTCACATTTCTAGAAGAACTTTGAATTATTTCTGGACATATTTGTAATATCATTTTAATATCATTCTTGCATATAGCCAGCATTTTTGAATTAAATAAAATACCCTTGGTATCATTTTGTCTTGACTATAACAAGTGTCCCACCTTTTAAAAATTGAAAGGTTATATACATGAAAATCGAAGATTGTTATTTCACAAAATATCTCTGTATCAGGAAACCCAAATCCAATTTTGCCAAAGTTTAGCCTAGATAGCATGGATAGTCTAATATCATATAAACACTTTACATTTTCCCCGCGTTTAACATATTTCTATCGTTTCAATTAAAATGATAGATTATGTCGGTATTGCGAATGATTAGGAAAAAATCCTGCTCATGGAGGTATTTCACGATCAAATCAATTTCACCTAAGTGTACATCATGTACATTCATATTTAGAGAAAATAAGTAAATAAAAAAAGTGCTTACTTAGTTATTTGTTTTCTCTTTTCTGACGTTATTTCATATCGAATAACCAATCTTATACACTTTTTTTCTACTTGACTCTTCTTCTTAAAGGTAACTTTGGTCATATTACTCCTCAAGAATTCAAATATTAATACATCTTGTCTTTCAATTTTTTTTTATTTTGAGCGCTCCTGATAAAGGTAAATACAGAAACGCACTTCGGATGCACCAAATATATAAAGTGTTGGTTTCCATATTTATATATAAAGTATTATTCATTGAATGTATCTTTATTTCTTATTAATATCAATACCTTTACGAGACACTGACGCATTTAATCATTTTTGTTCTTAATCGAAGTAATTCTCCTTTAAAAAAATATTATTCCCGAAGAATACAAAACATCTCTGAATACTAGAATTATTTTGTCTTTATTAACGAATTTTATAAATTTTCACTTTGTCTTTAGTAAAGTGTCTTCTTCCTTCGCGGAATAACAGTATGTTGAAATTGTACAACTATACAATACGTTTTTAGCATTAATAATTGATTACAGGTATATGTACAGTTCACATTCTACCACTTCTACTTTTTAATATCATTTTTATATTTAAAAAATTAGAGAAACTAACAAATTAAGAAAGATATAACACATTGATTACTAAAATCTTATTCATTTGTTCATTTCAAATGCAAGTTTACAAATGCGTTTAGAATGAAAAATCAATTTAAAAGGAAAATATACTGTTGTTTTTCTTTTAATTCCAAAATTTTAATCGACATTCAGCACGTTTTTTTCTATATATTAGGACAGCTTCTACCGGTCCTAGAATCTAAATCAAGTAAACTTAAAAAGCAGATTTGGCCCTAGGACTGTTTTTATGACTGCCTAAAAAAGTTAACTTTAGACATGTTCGCTACTGAAGTTAAATTCGAAACCAGTCCTGCATTAATTTAACTTTGACCTTGACAACTCCTATTGAACCATACCTGTTCTTAAGTGAACTTTTTGGTGGTCTGCTAAACACTAAGTTAACTTGTGACCAGGACCGCTCTACATCAATTGATAAAACATTTTTAATTGTCTCCGTTTCTTTATATAAACATTACAGTTTAAATAAATACATTACACAGTGTATATAAAGTGCGAATCCAGTCAGTTCATTTTCACTGTTGTATGCGAGTACGTCTATTGTAGAATAAAGGATGATGGGAAAACTGCGTTTGTTTACCTTTTGAAAATACAAAATAATTGATTTGAATGTATGTTTTAACACAATTTCATTAGAATATAACTTTTTAATGTATAATAACAGGATTAAAGTCCAAAAAAGTGTAATTAAAGCAGCAGAATCCATAATATGAATTTTTGTATGCGATTCATTTTAACTATAGATGCGATGAATTATCACTGTAAGTGCAATCATTTCTGACGTAGAATTTTTGAAGGTGCGATGAATTTTCATTGTTGTTTTATATGTTAATTCGACATGCAACAACTGAAAATAGTGTTTAAATGACTTTACAGCTGTTATCCTAATACTAGCAAGTTAAATGTTTGGTTGGCTTGCTTGCTTTGTTTGTATTAATGTTTGCTCAAGCATTGTAATTAAGATTGACATCTGCAAACAATATAAGTAGGCGGAGTTAAACCTGTATATAGGTAAATTTGATTATTTGATAATGTCCAATCAAATTTAAATATAATGTATACAAATTTAACTCCACCTTTTTATATTGTTTACAGAGGTCAATCTTAATTACAATGCTTGAGCAAACATTGTACAAACAAAGCAAGCAAGTCAACCAAACCTTTAACTTGCTAGCATTATGATAACAGCTGTAATATTGATGATATTTACAATTTGAAATGCAAGCTAGTCGTAGATGCCTACTTGTATATACACGGGTATAACCACGTTCATATGCATATTCAAATATTGTTGGTGAGTTTGCTATTACCTTGTCATGGATCCGAAAATTTACTGGAGCAGAATATTCATGAATATAACGTATTTCTACGTCGAATTTTCCTTTAAAAGTTTTAGAATTCGCTTAAAAAAAGCTTTGAAAATTTGTCACGCCGTGTCATACATATTTCTACCATATTGATAGGCTTTTGCACAACGAACAGTACAAGAATGTACAACGAATGGTACTAAAGAAAATAAACAAACTACAAAGAGAATGAATCGTAAAGTGCCAAAATTCTGAGGTCAGTTTTTCAAGTAAATGTCTTCAAAAATAATTAAAACAACGGGTTTCTCATTCTCATTATGTATTTTTCACAACAACAAATCACAAAATACACGGTCGCATTAGTGTAAGAGCCAACCAACTAAGCTCTTTTTGTAGTTTAATCAAGTTTGAGTTACACAGAGTGTTTGTTTCGCGATGTTTACAAGTAATTTAAGACCTGTCTATTTAAAATAGTTTCATGGTGTTCATGTAATATAAATAATATACAATGCTGCCAGGAGCAGTAAACTTTGTTTAAGTAAACATTGAATACTTATCTGAACATTGCGTCAATTAGTCTTTGGTGAAAATATAAGAACGGTCTATCTACCTACATCGCGAAGAGTAGCATTTAACGTCCGGAATCAACTGTACGGCGGTTATACCCCGTGGTATAGATATAAGAAGATGTGGTATGAGTGGCAATGCGACAACTCCCCAACCAAGTCACAATTTGTAAAAGTAAAACATTAGAACCATTTAAACATGTAACAATAAATAAACTGTTTGCAATATTTCCTTGTATTCTTACAATTGGGTATTTGCTTATTTGTAACACGGACTTAAAAGAAATTAAAACATAAATTAAGGTGACTCGACTGTTGCTTGAACTTTATTTACTGTATTAGACGTATACACAATGTCATGATAAATTATCCAGTCATCCAAGCGACAATTGTTTGTGCAAGATGAAAACGTTTCCACTCATTCAATCGTGAAATGAAGATCGTTTTGAGAATGCTCTTTGTTATCTTAAATGCATCCATTAGAGCTATTTTCCTAATGCTTGTAGTTTAAAGGTTTGGTTGGCTTGCTTGCTTTTTTGTATAAATGTTTGCTCAATCTCAATTACAATGCTTAAGCAAACATTTATACAAACAAAGAAAGCAAGCCAACCACACCTTCAAACTAATTGCATTAGGAAAATAGCTAAGTAAGTAAGTAAGTAAGTAAATTTTATTTAGAGTCGGCATATATATACATAATAACAGACAAAACATGTGCTCTGGTGAGCTCTTTAACCGACTAATATCTCTAATAACGTTTAATTTATTAGTATGCGATGTAGATTTAGACCGAAACAGAAACTTTGCTTTTTCGGTGACGTGGATTGGCCTAACTGTCCAAGATATATGAATTCAATGATGGCGTGTCATTGGAAAGGATAAATTTTATCCTACATATAGATCTGGATCTGGACAAATTATTAGAGAAAATAGAATTGACTATATTAGCAATAAATGCCATTTTTAAGGAATTTATTGATATATTGCCTCAGATTTTCACTCACTAAATAGATATAAGAAGATGTGGTATGAGTGTATGTATATATTATCAATCCTTCTGACTTCATAAATTTTGTTAGAGATTCGGCTGAATTAAGACTTTATATAATAAAAATTAATTAATTTCCTTCTGTGAAAATGCATCGCATGTAAAATAGAAACGAATCGCCCTACAGTGAAAATGAAAGTCCAGTATCATTATTCGACAGTAAACATGAATCGCATAACGAAAACAGCATACTGGAATTTGATTCAATATCAACAAGCTGAATAGACAGTTACGTCCCATTTCCCCTGGAACCCTGGATGCACCTCTGGGAAGCGCAATGTAAACGTTTTTATAATCTTATAAAACTACAATAACAGAAGCATTCCATTCTTTCAATCATATTTTAATTCTTAAACAAGAAAAGGACGAGTAAAATTAATGCTTCGTGACTTTTTCTTGTTGTAATTTTGTAAAACACCTCTTTAAAGTACCTCGTGATCATTTTCTGCTGATATGAAACATCCATATAATGTTGTTACTACTTGTAGTTGACCCATGTCATGGAGTTTCCCGGTGTAATCGTGGAAAATGTATTGTGCAGGGATCCTCATATATCTGCCAATGTCTGATTTGCGTGTTTAAAAATGGGAATACATCCTGCAACCGTAAGTATTTTATGTAGCGCTAGACTATATAAGGTGTGATGTTTCTGGTATGTGCGTTCGTCTGTCTAATCCGCCGTACATGTATATAATGTTTTAATTTTGGTTGATGTGCACTTTTCAAAATATATGCCAAATAAGCGTTTCGGCTAATATTTCGAAGTTCGATGAACACAAAAAAAGTGAGTTGGAGCATTGTGTATTCATTTATAAATAGGATGTTATATTCCGGACATTAAAGTACATAACTATCAGTTGTGATGTCACCTTGACGTCATACACATTTTGATTTCATTTGACGTTTAAGACCTAAAATATCAATTACACCTATATATATATGTTATCTCAGTGGGCCTTATCCCCAAACCTATTTATATTTATATTTATTTTTCGCGGTTGTCTCCTTACTAATGTGCGTGTATAAACAAAGGTAAAGACAAAAGGTAGTACTATTTTTTAAGCAAGCACCAGGCTTAATTAATGGAAAATTATATTTCTTTTAACAATTGGTTTATTTTCACAATTGTGATTACTTCATAATTTTTGTTTGCCCATTATTCTGTAGTAGTGGCCCATTATGCGCTATTCTGTAAACCATACCCCTAGCCTTTTATAAGAATTATAATCAATTATTTTTTTCAAAGTATATATTATAAAAATTCAGTCTATTGATCATGTAGTTATCCGTTTTCACAGTAATTATATTTAGTTACTTTATATACACTGATTTTCCACAGAATGTGTACAAAAAATAAAGTTGACAAATTATTGAACTGGTTTTTGATAAATCAAGTCTTGAATTAGTCTGTTGCAATACATTTCTTTAATAATTAAAAGATTTAAGAAGGATCCTTCCTGAACATTCGAAGAAATAAAGATAAGGCGTGTTTACAAATTTTGGTTTATTATTACACGGCTACTAAGGCGACGATCATTTGATTTTCTGGAAATGAATATCCTGGCCGGGTAAAAGCTGAAAATAAATATCTTTGCCCAAGACAGGATGAACATGAATATTATGCAACACTAAATGCAGGAAATAATAGTGTACAAAAAGTGTAAATAGATTTTATTAGCGACAGTTGAAAATAAAAAGTCAATCCGCAAAATATCATTCTGCCCCAAGCCACCAGAATATCAAATGGTCATCTCCTTACACATTTGTGGCAGGTGTTTGTATAATATCATTTTAATTTTTATTCACTCATAATTTTAATTTATCTTATAGTTGTAATACAGTCTAATATCCTTAAGTAATTACATGTATAATTGATAATAATTACATTATACTATGTTTAATAAGAATCCGTAATTAGCCCTCATCATCGAGGATGCGGGAGCCCTACAGTTTTCACTTTGTCCGTCCATCTGTCTCTCCATCAAAAGTTTTTGTAAGCGCAAAAATTTCAAAAGAATAAGTATGAAGCCAATGCAATTGTGCACAGTTGTTGTGCATAATATGTAGATGTACATATTATATTTTAGTGAAATTCGGCTCATTAATTTGGGAAAAAAATAATTTTTTTGTTAAATAATCACAAATTTTGAGAAATGTCTTCTCATAATAGGATTTTAACAAAATTGATATATAGGTGTACAAAGTTATTTCAAATTGATTGGCAAACCAAACTAAAAAAATTGGCAAAAACTTACTCTTTGTTTAAAAAATTCACAAATTTTTAGAAGCATCTTCTTGAAGTAGGATGTCATAAAAAAAAATGATATATGATATAGGCATAATATGCATTCCAAATTGTTTCCTCAAGGATCCTACTAGGGTTTAAATAAAAAAGGAATCATTTGCTTTACGAAATGATTCTCTGTAACAAAATTATTGGTTGTCCACCATTTACGAAAATGCTTACCAAAAATACATGTCATAGTGCTTGGATTTTAACAAAACATATATTAATTGAGAACACATACTGAATTAATTGTTGGTGTCAATATTTATCAAAATTGACAACTTATGAACATTTGCTTTGTATGCATCAGTCTCTCTACCTCACATAAAAATATGCAAGCGGGGCCTTTGCTGACATGTCAGTTTTTTTCTAGTTTTGATTGGCGTACAACAATCGCGAGGAACTCCCATATCAAATTTTGTTTCCGTATAAAATATAACAGCTTGGAGTGCGCATTCTATCCATGACAATGTTAAAACAATGCATAGAAAAACATACGAAAAGCTTGATCTTTTAATTTCATGGCTGTAACATACAACTGTAATTATTTTATAGGGTTGTTAAAGCGTTGCTTGTGCGCACAATTTTTATATGAAGCGCTTCCGCTTCAAAGACATTCAGTGGGTGTCGTTTGTTGCTGTATATCATATTTGTTTTTCGTTCATTGTTTTTGTACATAAATCAGGCCTTTCGTTTTCTCGTTTGAATTGTTTTACATTTGTCATTTCGGGGCCTTGTATCGCTGACTATGCGGTATGGGTTTTGCTCATTGGTAAAGGCCGTATGGTGACCTATAGTTGTTAACCTCTATGTCATTTGGTCTCTGGTGGAGCATTGCCTCATTGGCAATTATACCACACCTTCTTATGATTATATATAAATTGAATGCAGTATTCTTGTCAATCATTATATTTTACAGACTATAAGTGTGAATAGGATATTGGCACACCAGACATTTTAGGAGATCAAAGGACACATTTGTTTTGGATTATTGTTACATTTCTGTTTTGGACATTTTGATTAATCCAGGCGTCCTTTACGAAGCACTGCAAATACGCAACATGATTTACGAGGATGGGACATACATTTCTAAATTGGTCCATGCCAGATAAAACAGACAGCAAAAAAAAAATAATAAATAACTGACGTTGTTTTTGAACATTTTTAATTATTTATATTTACTTTTATCACATTGTTATTTTAATGTCATAGCTATGTATATTGTAATACTTTGTAATGATAACAACATAAATATACCCGCGTTGTAGCTATTCTGGTCCATAGGTTCACCTGATTGAAGAAACATCATCAAATTAAATTCAGTGTTCGAACAGAAAGGCAAGATAAAAAACAATTGTGATTAGATTTTTCCTACCAACCTTAATTTAGGTCTCGAATTGTCTATCAAGATTAAATATTCGCTTTCTTGTAATGAAAAGCGACAAAAATATCAGGTCTGTTCATAAAATTTAAATACTCCAGGTAAAAAAAATACCACAATAGAAAATAAACCCCTACCTACCAACCATATTTCATTTTTAGAAGAAACACTAATATTGCCAACTGATTCGGATAAAATGTGAAGCGTTGAGGACTAAAACTAGAGGCTCTAAAGATCCTGTGTCGCTCACCTAGGTCTATGTGTATAATCAACAATGGACTTTCTCCAACATTGTAGAAAGAGTTCATGACAAAAAATTCTTTTTTGTTGATCTTGTATCATGTGTACATGGTGTATAGCTGATCATTTTGTCTGTTTAGTTTCTCTACTAGTCTACTAACTTTATCGGCAAAATTTGACTTTTTTGTGGAACTTGCCTTGTCGATTTCATTTAAAAAAAAACAAATTCAACGATTGGGATTGAAAAAAAACTCTGCTTAAGCTCAATTTTAAATTGTAGGATAAAAACAATATTCGTACAGTGTAGGAAAATACAAAATTTATTTGTACTCGCTACGAAAAAGGAGAAAAGCTTGTCGAGTTTTGCTTTTCTATCTGTTTCTATAGCTCTTCAAATAAATTTCAAATTTTCCTACACTGTACGAATATTGTATATATTTCATCTCATCACATATTCCTGAAGGTGTCTGTCCAAAGTCAGGCTGTACAAGGTTGTCGTATGTCAGATTTTTATTCTTTCGTTATTATTAATTTGAAGAATTCGGCAGTTGATTAATACAAATCTTTTTTATCAACCTATTTTACTTTTGTCCCCATGTTGGAAGTAAACGTGCACAATTCCTTTAAAATCAGCCAACTTTTACTTTTTATTCTGACCGAGAGACGTTAGAAGTTAGAAAAGATTGTTTTGAAACAGATTTATTTTATTTTCACCAAGCCTTGCATAATTCATCGGTACGATCTGGTAAGGATCTTTTCTTAGACTTAGGTTTGATCCCTGGCAAGATCAAGGTCAATTCAAACTGGACTATTACACTAACCCTTATAAATATATTAGTCCTAGATTCAAAAAGTTGAAAATTGGTATGTACTTCTTCTGTAGTAGGTAAAGGCATTTATGAAAAAAAGCAAAGAAGGTTTGGACCAGAATAAGCATAATAATATTTGTTTTTCGTTCATTATCTTGTACATAAATTAGGCCGTTAGTTTTCTCGTTTGAACTATTTTACATTTGTCATTTCGGGGATTTTTATAGCTGACTATGCGGTATGGGCTTTGCTCATTGTTGAAGACCGTACGGTGACCTACAGTTGTTGATTTCTGTGTCATATGGTCTCTTGTGGAGATTGTCTCATTGGCAATCATACCACATCTTTTTATTTTTATATAATGTTTGGATGGGGACACGTAGTTCAGCAGACTGTTACTTTGTTCAGAATTTGCATATGATGTAACAAATTTATTTGTCATTAATGGCTATTCTTATAATGAAATAACATACTACTTCTTGGGCTCCAGGGCATATGAGTGGAATCCACTTTCTCCTACTTAGGGTATGACTCCACAAAAGGAACAAGCATTAAAGATGCTATCTTCTTATATCTATATAGAGGAGGGGCGAAAGATACCAAAGGGACATTCAAACTCATAAGTCAAAAATAAACTGACAACGCCATGGCTAAAAAAGAAAAAAAGACAAACAGACAAACAACAGTACACCAAACACAAAACACAACATAATAAACTAAAGACTGAGCAACACGAATCCCACCAAACACTGGGGGTGATCTCAGGTGCTCCAGAAGTGAGAGCAGATCCTGCTCCACATGTGGCACCCGTCGTGTTGCTCATGTTAGTACTAACCAGGTTATAAGTCTTATTCGGTAGGTTACATTCGGGGAAAGGGGACGGGATTGTAGTTACGACAATTGGAACATATACGCCATCATCTGTGAAACGAATATTCCATAACGATCAACCAACTCGTGATGGCGTCCGTAAAATTAACGAAGGGATGACTTCAACTTCACCACTTGGAACTGTTTGGTTAATAGTTTCCCTGTGAGCAGCAACTCTCTATCAAGGAAATCATGATAGGAAATACAAGCCCTGGAATATTGTATCAACTGGGAGATATATACTCCGTATGCAGGCGCTGCTGGAATGTTGCTACATAAAAATGGAAATTTCACAATTGGGAAGCTGAAATCATCTCTTTTGTCGTAAAGTTTTGTTTTCAACCGATCCTCATTGTCAATTGCTAGATGTAAGTCAAGATATGATGCAGACTTAACTGTATCTCTTGTATCTCTTACCTCCCTTAGATATGTGATGATAAAGTGCCACGTTCCTGTCTGAAAAAGACTCCTCCATTTCGTACACAAAGCTCATTTGTGGACGGTGTTGACATTAATTATTACTGGCGTGCCTCCATCTCTTTGTATTTGCAGTTTGTTCCCATTTTATGTTCAATCCGGCTCCTCTTTTCATTTCCGTCATATCCATTTCATGTACATCGTTTTGATATAACCATTTTGTTCTGCCGAGGCATAAACAGTAAGAATCAAGTGATGAAATAATCAAACTGTTGAATAAATGTTGACCTTAGGGTATAAAATCATAGCTAGTACAGCTACCAATATTAAGTTCGGACCGACTTGATTTCTTTTCAGTAGTTTGAGTACTTACGTTGAACTTGCTAGCAGTAATTATTATATAAGTAAGTAAGTAAGTAAGTGATTGATTTATTATAGTGACTTGTGAACATGTATCAATAAATATAACACAATTACAAGGTTTGTATAGTCATCATTGCACCCAGCCCATTAGACCTATAAGACCTATAAGGCCATCCTTAAGAAATGCCTTGTAGGGTTGGGTACGTAGGCAGGGGTTTTATTTGTTTTGGCCAACAATATGAGTTACATGTTTTAGACAACAACAAAAAACAGCGTTAGAGTAGGAAAAAATTTAAAAAAAAAATTGAAAATTTTTTTTTCGGGTAGGCTGCTTTTTAGGTGGGTAGTTAGGTAACATCAAACAATTTAAATTCTATTTTTGGCCTAAGTCCCCTATTTGAGAAATTAAGTAAGTTGATACAGTATCACATATATAAGTGGATAATATTGTTGTGTCCTTTATTATGTGTTTTGTTATCTATCAAACATTGTCAAACTCCGAAACAGCGTCAACGTAGTGTAGCAAGGAAGACGTAACCACTGTTTCGGACTTTTGTTATTCCTTATACCGATATTTTAGAGTTGAGTGCTTTCCTGTATATTTGTATATATTGAATGCTCTTTAAATAAGATCTGTAATCTACTGATCAAGTTTTTAAAGAATGGCGAGGGTTGAGATATCGAAAAACTAATTTAACCCTGCCACATTTACTTTGCGCCTGTCCAAAGTCATAAACCTTGTTAGTAGTTGTTGTATATCATTTCTGTTGTATGTTTTGATATTTGGAGAATTTAGTGTTGATGATAAAGTTTTGATTGTTTCTGTAAATATTTCCATAACTTTAATTTAAAGTTTGACATATTGTTTAGACACCAGTTCTGTATATTGTTGAAGACTCTTTGTTCCTCTATAGACATGATAGATATCTTTTGGTTGTCTTTGTCGCCAAGTTGTCGTTTTATTGTCGTATACCCTTATCTCCTTTTTAGGGGGTGTTTTTCTATCTTCAAAAAACTACACTTATTCTGTAAAATGCTCATGAAAAGGATTTTACTATTATTTTGTATGCAATTATATGATTTCTTTATTCTATATAGTGTTCATTTCTGTAGTCATTATTGTATTACCTAATTCTTTTATTTCCCATGGTTATTCTTTATACTTTTTCACCCCATTATTCTCTATTCCTTAATTTTTTTGCTCCTTTTTCTCTATCGTTGTCTATTCACTATATTAATGGGCCATTATTCTCTATTCTGTAAACCCCATCCATACCCTCCTAAATGTTTATCTAATTTAGTTCCTACATTATCTCATGGCCTAATTTGTTATACTTCCGTCATTTGTTTGACATTTCCCTTCGTTCAACCAAGAATTCTAATAGGGAAACTACAAAAACGTTTGGTTCAACAACGAGCGATTGCGCATTGAAGACTGCGGAACTTGGTCAGAATCGGTCGTACGAATATTGGCGGGCTTAACATCGCATCTGTGTCTTCAAAACACAAATTCCCTTTCATGTGTAAAATGTAAAAAAAAAAAATCTGAACGCGAAATGGAAAGTAATCAAAGATAGTTTAACAGAAGAAAAAATAACGAATATCATAAACCCTGAACAATGAACAAGACTTTTTAATTGGTTCCTTTTAAAAACAGTCACTAGCACTGGGGATATGAGACATTCAAGTTTCAATTGTAATTTTAATTTTATCATTGTGGTCTTTGTCGACTGTACGTGTAATTTCTGTTTATGTAACATTGTTTTTGTTTTAATATGTATGTATATGCAATTGATCTATTTGTTGGTGTAATTTGTGCTTAATAAACATTTTTAAATTTCTACTTTATTCTTACCGAATGTTTGTGCATTGTTCAACATCTTTAATTTCAAAGTAATATATGTTACTGGAAATCGTAGCTACATCATCCGATAACACAAACGCAGTTTCTTAATTATAGCATCCATTCTTTCGGTTAATTCTGTTGTTGTCTTTCCCTTATTATAAATTTACAATGAAGTTGTCTACTGTTGACGAAT